GGTCAGCTGCTGGAGCGCCTGCTGAAGCTGCTGGAGCTGCGCATTCAGCTGTCTGGCTGCCGTCTCTGCTCGCGCCTCCTGCTCCTGGGCTCGCCTCTCGGCAGCTTCCGCTCGAGCAGTCGCCGTCCGCAATGCGTCCAACACCTGCTGGGCCGTCGGCTGCTGCTGCGGCAAGGCTCCTGCTGCAGCTGCGGCCGCGGCTGCGGGGTCGCCCGCTGCCTGCTGCGCCGCCGCTGCTTGCAGTTCCTCCTCAATCTCTGAACCTCCACGCTGCGAAGGCCGCGTAGGGTCGCTCGCGTGGGGCATGAAGGAGTGAACGTCCTCGTCCACGACGTCGAGCGGCCAAGCGTGACCCAGCTGCTTGTCGAAGACGGCGTGCCCGAACACGCGATGCGTGAACGTTGGCAGGTCGATCTCGTGACCGACGATCTTCTCGACGAGGTTCAGCGCCGACTCCAGCTGCCTGCAGACGTCTCCGCGCCGCTGCCGTCGCCAGGCGGCGTCCTCCGATCGCCGCCGCCCTCGCTGCTTCTTCTGCTTCTTGCGCCCCGTCGCTGTAGCGCCCGCCGAGGTTGAACCTCGGCCTGCACAGGGGTCTGGGGGCTGCCCTCCGCCGCCCCGCGGTGCTCCCCGCAGGGCGCTGGGGCGCCCCCCGCAACCCGCAGTGCTCCTCGCTGTGCCGCTGGACTGGGCGGCTGCCCTCCGCAACCCGCGGCGCTCCCCGCTGGGCTGCTGGGCTGGCACTTCCGACGCAAAACCCGCGGATCCTCAGGCCACGGGCTCCGCTACCATGCGCGGCCCCCCCCGCGGAGCCGCGATCCTTTTTGAACCAAGAGGGTTGCGTCACAGCGCCCCCCAACAACCCTGTGACTATGTTCATAGCTCTGGCAGTGAATTCAAAGAGCCCTTGTAGGGGGCCATGGAGAAAAAAATTAGAAGGAGGGTTCATCCCAACATTGAAAACTCTTGGGTTTACGCTGGTCCACCCTCCTTCTCTTCCTTCTCATCCTCCTCCTTCCCCCTCCTCCCTCCTCCTCCCTCCTCATCCACCTCCGATTCCTCCCACCATCAAACAAAACTCCTCCCGGCCGCACCACCAAACACATCAGTAGGGCGGGCCGGGCGTTTCGCCTGAAACGCGTCAGCCATTTATTACACAGAAGCTCGGAAATTTCAACGCTCTCGCAGATGGAGGGGGGGCCGCTTTCAAATTGTGGCTCTCGCCCTGGCGCCGCGGGCAATCGTTTTAAACATTTGCAACAATTTTGAGGATGGGGGGCTGGCTGGTTTCAAACTGGGGCTCGCCCCTTAGCGCCGCGCGCGCTCGTCTTAAACATGTGCCGCCATTTCACGGATGGATGGCGGTTCCTTTTCGAAATGTGGGTCTCGCCTTGGCGCCGCGCGTATTATCTTCAAGGTTCATAACAGTTTCAAATATTCGCATGGTCAGAATCCCAAGAATCGTGTTCTGGCACGATTTAGAACTGTGGGAACGCAACGGACAAACTGATTCGCGGTGTTGAAGTCCCAGGGGTGTTCTGGCACGAACGAAACGTGCCAGGATGCAACAATTGTGTTGGTCCGCGCCGCTGAAGTCATGGGAGCGTCGCTTCAGTATGATTTCATATTCTCAGACGATTGTCTTCTAATGGGCCACTTCCTGCGATGAGAATAGCTCCTTTTCGGGGCCAGTGAGGAGGGAACTTGGAGGGAGGGTTTGTTGCAACATCGCGGATGCATCTTGGTCCTCCTCCTCCTCCTCCTCCTCCATCCTCATCACCTCCTCCTCCTCCTCCATAGTCTTCCTCCGCATCCTCCTCCTCATCCTCCTCGTTCCGCCTCACCCTCGTCCTCCTCCTCGTCCCGCATCCTCCGCCTCCTCCTCATCCTCATCCTCTCTCCTCCCCCCCTTCCCTCAACAATTACACAATAAGAATGCTACTCTCCTCTCTCCCCTTAATCTGCCCGGAGAGTGTCCCGTCCTCTCCGCGTATTGCTTTTACACCGGATTTCATTATTTGGTTTTCCCTGTGTGTTTTTTCAATCCAGCCGCTTCTGGTTCTTCCAGAGTGGTGCTCCCGCTGCAGCGCCGCCCTCATTTCCGCGCTTCGGTCATTCAACATCGTACTCCCGTTGCAGCGCTGGCCTCGTTCCCGCGCCTCCGGACGGCACTTGGCATTCGAAAGCGCCCACATCGGGCAAGCAACCGAGGACATGCCCGGCATTCCGCTGTCCCCCCGCAGACGGGCCACTTACCTTCCAAGTCATCCAGTGCTATGCCACGGCATGCGATGCGATGCGATGCTGTGTTGTGCACTGCTGTGCGATGACATGCTTTGCGTTGCTATGCTTTGTGATGCAATGCTTCACTATGCAATGCCACGCCATGCTATTACATGATATGCTCTGCCGTACTCTTATACACCATGCTTTTTGCATCCACCGCGTACCCTCTTGGGATCATTGCCCTGTTCGACATCCGACTGTGCGACTATATATAGGGGATCTACGCTATGGTTAAGGATGGGAGGGAGGGTTAGGGCGTCAGATGTGACGCTAGCGCACCTGGCGTGTCCTCCCCCTCTACAGCTCCCCCCCTCCTCCACTCACCCCTCTCCTCCTCCCCCTCCTCGTCCCTCCTCATCCCTCCCCATCCCTCCTCATCCCTCCTCATCCCTCCTTCTCCTGGTCCTCATCCTCGTCCCGCCTCCTCCTCGTTCTCCTGCCCTTGTTTCTCCTCCGCCTCCTCCTCCTCCTATTCCTCCTCCTCCTCCTCCTCCTCCTCCTCCTCCTCCTCCCACCTCCTCGTCCTCTTCCTCCTTCAGGCTCCTCCTTCTCCCGCCTCCTCCCCCAACGGCCTATCTCCTGCCCCAATCGTCGGTGTGAAGAGAAGCAGCAACCCTTCAAGCAGACGACAAAATGAGGACGAACACGACCAGGATCGTAACGGACATCGGCGTGATGCTTCCAACAATCTTCACATCTGAAACCGCCTTCGGGCTCTCAGGCCGTCGAACAAAGCGGCCCCCCAGGAAGGGGGGTCAGAGTTTCGGGGCCCGCGTGCTGAACAAAACAAGACATCGGAGGTCTGAGGATGAGGAAGCATAGGGAAATGTTGATCATGGGAAGGAGGATGCAACGGGGGAGGGATGGCAATGGGGAAGAGAGGCGTGCGCGAAGCTGCATGCCAAATATGAGCTGGAAAGGCACCCTCTACAGACGCCACCTGTGGGCGGGCCTGCACTCGCCGGGACGGCGACCTCCTCCGCTGGATCCACACTGGAGACGCCCAGACAAGGGAACGGCAACGGAACGGATGGGAAGGAGGAGGAGGAGGAGGAGGAGGAGGAGGAGGAGGAGGAGGAGGAGGCGGAGGAGGAAGGAGGAGGAGGAGGAGGAGGAGAGGAGGAGGAGGAGGGGAGAGGAGGAGGAGGAGGAGGAGGAGGAGGAGGAGGAGGAGGAGGAGGAGAGGAAGGGAGGAGGACGAGGAGGGCGAGGAGAGGAGGAGGGAGGAGGAGGAGGAGGGAGGAGGAGGGGGAGGAGGGGGAGGAGGAGGAGGAGGAGGAGGAGGAGGAGGAGGAGGAGGGAGGAGGAGGAGGAGGAGGAGGGGAGGAGGAGGAGGAGGAGGAAGAGGAGGAGGAGGAGGAGGAGGAGGAGGAGGAGGAGGAGGAGGAGGAGAGGAGGAGGAGGAGCAGGAGGAGGAGGGGGAGGATGGGGAGGAAGGGGGGGGAGGAGGAGGAGGAGAGAGAAGGAGAAGAAGGAGGAGGAGGAGGAGCGGAGGAGGCGAGGAGGAGGAGGAAGAGAGGAGGAGGAGGAGGGGAGGAGGAGGAGGAGGAGGAGGAGGAGGAGGAGGAGAGGAGGAGGAGGAGGAGGAGGAGGAGGAGGAGGAGGAGGAGAAGGAGGAAGATGAAACGAAAGAGAGGTGTGGAGAAGGGGAGACACGGGTAGTCGGGCAACGAGAGTCCACTGCACCCTTTGTAGGGGCACGCCCACGGGTCAGCAGGAGGCACGGCGTGGGAGAAGGAGCAGTGGGAGCCAGGCCACTTTCGGATGAGGCTGGTTGGGCACCTCTTGTGGAATGCCGAAGAGACAGAGAAGGGAGCCACAGGCTGGACGGGCACCTCTTCAAGCGAGGATGGAAGAGAAGGGGGTCCAAGCCATTTGCAAATGAGGCTGGTCGGGCACTTCGTAGTTCGACGGATGCGAGTACAAACAGAAGATAAGCAAGCACGCCGGGAGGTGAACTGGGAGCCACTCCATTTGTACATGGGCTGGCCGGGCGCCTCTAAGCGAAACGAGGGAAGCTCGAGGGGAAGGGAAACATAACCACACGTAGAAGATGCAACGCACCAATGGATGCCGCATGCTGCTACGTGAGTGCCAAGGCGCAACCAGAACTGGTCCAACAGGGGGACAAACCGCTCTGTTGGGGCCTGCCGACAATCCAGCTCAGCCACCATCGGCTGAGGAGCGAATCGGAACACAGCCTCCACGGCCCTGTGCAGCGCAGCACCGTTGCAAGGAGACGGAGTGCCGGAAGGGAGGGGAGGCGAGGAGGGAGAGTGCAAGGAGGCTGCGGCGAGAGATCCGTGGAGCGGAGGCGAGGCAGGAGGCGCAGGAGGACGAGTGGGCAGGGCGGGGGTGGAGGGAGGGAGGGAGGGCGAGTGGAGGGCTTGGAGGGCGGGAGGGAGGGAGAGGTCGGCAAGCGTGACGGCGGCGGCAACAGCGCAGACGCAGCAGAAGGAGCGAAGGCAGCAGCAGCACCAGCATCAGCAGCACCGGCGGCAGCACAGCCAGCCGCCGGCACGACGGCAACGCGTCGTCGCAGGACACGCGACGTGCCACAGGCCCGCGCGGTGCGAGCAAGCGGTCAGTCGTGTGCGCGTGTGCCCATCGTGGGCGCCGGCGTCGACGACCTGGGTCGCAGCAGCCCGCGCGGAAGGAGGAGCGGCGGCGGCGGCGGACAGCAGCAGCGGCAGAGGGCCCGCAGGGGGCGTCTCCTGCAACCGCCGCCGTCCCGCTCGCCACCGCGGCTGGAGCTGCCGCTCAGTCCCCTGTCGAAGCTCCTGAGGCCCGCTCTTTTTTGGCCGCCCCTGCCGCCGATGTGCGAGCTCCCTTCGACGGCCCCCGCCGCTGCCGAGCTCACGCTGGGAACGACGCCTTCCCCTGCTCCCGCCCCTCCTGCTCCGGCCCCCAATCGTCCTGCGGCTCCTTCCCAGCAGCCTTCCCATCCTCCTGCTGCGCGTGCTTGGGCTCTGCTCAGGCTGCTCCCGGACTCTGTCTCGGGTATTTCGCAGGCTACCCAGACTTCAACTGTAGGCGAAGCAGCAACAGGAGCAGGAGGGAGGCAAAGGAGTAGCAATACCGCAACGATTGCCCCCCAAAGAACCCCACCAATGAGGGCTACCGTGGAGGAGCTTCCTCTATTCCGATCTGGATCCCTCTCGTCCGGCCAGGACCCCCTCGGAGGCCTTGCGAGGCCCAGAACGAGTCAAAGGCGTCCAAAAGCATCGGTCACCGATTCTGATCTCCCTCCCTCCCTTCCTCCCTCCTCCTTGACCCCCCCCTGCCTCCCTTCTCCTCGGACCCCCTGCCACTCCCTCTCCGCCTCCTCCTGCTTCTCCTCCTGCCCCTCCTCCTCCCCCTCCTCCTCCTCCTCCTCCTCCTCCTCATCACCACCACCATCACCATCAGTATCATCACAGCCACCATCATCAATAGAATTATCATCATCATCTTCATCATCATCATCAGCATCATCATTCTCATCCTCATCCTCATCCTCATCCTCTTCCTTCTCCTCCTCCTCCTCATCATCATGGCCATCGCCGTCACCATCACCACCATCATCACCACCATCATCACCATCATCATCAGCAGCATCAGCAATACCATTGTTGAAGTTGACTCCTGCTATGCTCTCCCGCAGCCGTTTCGGCCCTGGCGGCCCCGACGAGAGGTCGGAGGGGCTGTTTAGGGCAACATACCGGGCGCTGCTTGCCCACCTGCGCGTGAGGAAAAACATATCTTCACATCGACATTGGTAGCGGAGCTACTGTCGAGCGGGTTCGATCCACGGCACGGTGTCCGTCGCGGGGGTCGCGACGGGTGTAGCCACGGTGTGGTTGCCCACGGTGTGGGATGGAGTTTGAGGCTACTATGGGTGCCCCTGCGGAGCAGGGCGCGGCCCCTGCGGCGCAGGGAGCGGCCGCCGCGGCTGCGGCGGGTGACGACACCACGCAGCAGTGGTTTGATGACTGGGACCCTTGGGCGGCAGCCCCAGGGGCAACGGCGCGGCGCGCCGAGCCAGAAGCTCCTTCGGGAGGCAGCGCCTCCGAAGCCCGCGGAGCGGGTGGGGACGGATCGTGGGGATCCAGATTGTGGGGCGGCGCCCCTTGGGGGGACGACGTCCCTTGGTGGACCCCGCAGCGCTGGGAAAGCAGCGAGAGCCGCAGTGGCGGCTGGGGCTGGATGAGTGGGCAGGGCACTCGACCAGAGCCCGACGCCCGGGACGCACGCTACACCTCCGGAGGGTTGGGAGGTGGCGGGCAGCGTGCTTACGAGGGCTGGTCTTGGCAAGGCCGCCCCTGGTCTGAGGAGTGGGGGCAGCGCGGCTGTCAGCCAGGACCGACGTCGCCAGGGACCAGCACAGGCTGGTACTGGCAGGATTGCCCCTGGTCTGAGGAGTGGGGGCAAAGCAGTTGGCAACCAGGGTCTGGCGGCTACTGCGGGTCCGTTAGGTACGAGGGCAGCGGGCCCTCTGGACAGGAGCGCGGCGACGACAAGTTCGTGCCCGAATGGGACGGGAAAGCCGTGCCTCTAAGGACGTACGAGCGGCGCGTGAAGATCTTCGAGCTGAACACGGCCATCCTGCCCGAGCGTCGGGGCGGGCGGCTTCTCTCGAGGCTCAAAGGTGACGCTGAAGCCAAAACAGAGAACCTCGACCCTGAGACCCTCGCTAGGCCGGACGGCGTCCGGGTGCTGTTGCGCTATCTCCATGAGAAGTACGACCAACAGGAGACGCTGAAGGTCGGCACGCTCGTAGATGAGTTCGTGGAGAAGGTCAGCCGGAACGCTGGCGAGGAGATCATGGACTTCGAGACGCGGTACGAGGCCAAGGTGCGCGAACTCGAGGAGGCGATGGAGGAGCCGCTCAACAAGCACTTGAAAGCCCACTACTTCCTGAAGAAACTGCGCGTGGGCGGCGACAAGGAGAGCCAGATCATCACTGGTGCTGGCAACGAGCTGGTCTACGAGAAACTTCGCGACTCGGCTAAAGCTTGCATTCCTCGGGTGTCTATGCTGAGGAATCGGGCGGCGGCGCCGTTCAACGGAGCCAACCGCGAGTACCTGAACAGGAATCGCCGGAGGCTCGGTAAACCCTTAGGCAGGGGCGGCGCCCGAAAGGTCCACGCTACCGAAAACGCCGAAGCCGAGGCTGAACGCGAAGGCGCCGAGGCCGAGGGCCCCAGCACGTCCGCCGAGGAGGACGACGACGACGAGGAGCCGGACTCGGAGGTCGACGCTGGCGTGGACCCGAATATCGCGGAGAACGAGTTGGTCCCTGAGGAGCTCCAGGCGTACCTCACGGAAAACGAGGTGCTCATGACGCAGGCTAAGAAGGCGCGCGCCGAGGCTGAGAAGGCGCGCGACTTCTACCGTGGACCTGGCGGCAGGGCCAGCGGAGGCCGAGGCGCCGATTCCGAGCGCATCCGGAAGCTCAAGCTGACGCTCCCGTGTAAGCGATGTGGCAGGCTGGGCCACTGGAAGGACGACCCTGAGTGCCCTCGGGCCCCGGGGAAGGCTAGCACGGCTGGTAAGGCGGCCGGTGCGGAAGGCAAGGGCACGTGGGTCGTGGCCCGCGCTGAAGAGCCCGCGGAGCGGGAGAAAGAACCGGCGGAGCCGGCGCACCTGGATGGTGTCGTGCTTGAGTCTCAAAACCTCTCTCACTTCTTCTCCCTCCCTCCTTTCACCTCGGAGGAACAGGAGGCTCATCCATCGAGGTCGGCGGCGCCAACAAAGACGGAAAAGGGAATGCCGGTGCGAAGGGGAATGCCGGTGCGAATGTGAATGGAGGTGCGGCCGGTGCGCAGGAGTTGCGGTGCGAAGTTGAATGCCGGTGCGAAGGAGACTGCCCGGGCGAAGTCGACAATGGCGTGAAGATAACACGCTTCAGGAGCGAGGAGGAAGAGGAGGCCTTTCCCCTATGTCTCTCCCCTCCTTCTTCCAACCTCCAAGCCGCCGCGGGACATCCGATGTCCGTACTAGTCGCAGAAACGGGCGACGCTGTGTGGCTGATCGTTGTGGACACGGCGTGTGCTAAGTCCGTGGCGGGGCTCCGGTGGTACCGGCGCTTGGCCATCTACGTTAGGAAGAACTGGGGCATCGAGCTCGAGACAGTCACCGAGCGCGAACCTTACCGGTTCGGACCGGGGAAGACGATCTACAGCTCCCAAGCGTTGCTGTTGCCCATGGAATGGGACGGCAAGGGGGCCGTGATTAGGATCAGCTTGGTGGAAGAGGACGTTCCGCCATTGATCTCGGGCGGAGCCCTGAAGGCCCTGGAGGCCCATATCCACATGAAGGAGGCCGAGATCACACTCGGTGCCCTCAGCAAGGCCAGGCACAAGCTCAGGGAGCTGCCGTCGGGGCACCTGGCCATGGCTGCTGTCAGTTACGGACCTGGGGGGCCAGGAGCGGGCGCACAGGAAGCCGTGAGCCGCTGCCGGGCCGGGGCTGAGATCGCGCTGTATGGGCGCGTCCGCGGATCCCCATACGAGGCCGTGCGCCGTGCGCTTTACACGGACGGCCGGCCAGACGACGACGACCACGACGACGACGACGACGAAGCGGCAGCGATCGAGTCGACCGCAGCCCCTGTCGGTTTAGGACCCGTACAGCGAGCACGAGCAAGCGCCATCTTCGGTGGCCCTGGGACGCGCGCGCGGGCAGATGCCGCCATGGCGCCCGACTGTCGTGCAGTGTCGCAGCGGAGCTGCGAGGGCGAGTGTGGCAACTCGGTTGGTATTCATGGCATGGAGGGCCTGGTATCAGGAGTTGTTGGTGGATTACCTGGAGCGGGAGGTCCTCACCCTTCGCCAGAGGGAGGACACCCCTCGAAGCATCTGGGAGATGCGGAAGGCAGAGCTGGTGACGCTGGCCATGCAGCGACTCGGCTGGCAGAGGGCCCGCGCGGAGGCAGAGACCGTTGGTCAGTTGAGGCTCGTGCTTCGAGAAAAGAAGGACGAGATCCAAGCGTCGGAAGTGGAGAAAGACGACCCTCGAACAACCTTACCGACGGGCCTCACCAATATGAAGTTGGCGCAGCTGCAGGAGGAGGCCGCGGTGCGGCAGATACCGCTGACACGGTCGAACGGCGCCGACAAAAGACGGGAAGAGCTCATCCGAGACGTCAGGCTGTTCGTGAGCGAAGGCCAAGCGGAGGCCGAATGGACCCCAACGGAGGCACTGGAGGGCTCGAGCAAGATGAGTCGTGCCCAGAAGAGGGAGTCAACCGGAGTGAAGACGGAAGAGAGTATGGAGGTGGACTCCGGCACTGGGCCTGCCGAGCCGTCGAGCGGTTCAGCGGCCGCGCGGGGGACGCGCCCGGTGCTGGCAGCCATGCGAGCACGCAGGCTGCCGGCGGCGGGAAGCAAGGGCGCGGCAGCGCCCGAAACCGACGTTTGAAGGGCCCCACGGCGACGGCAGTGCGCAAGGCATGCCTGGGCATCGCCTCGGCATGGTTGCTTGGGGTAGCCACCCTCGGGACCTGGCTCGAGGAAACTGGCGGCGGGCAGTGGGCCCGTCACCGTTGGGGTACGGACCGCGTGGACGTGGTCGAGTTCTTCGGAGGCGGCAGTGACGTCAGTCGCATCGGATCCAAGAATGGTTGGTGGTGTCTCCGTCCTTGGGACGCGAAATGCGGAGCCGACCTCGCACAGGAGTCCGAGCAGGCGGAGGCCTTGGGAATGTTGAGCGATGTGCGACCGAGGTTGGCTGTGGTGGAGCTCCCTGGCTCCTCAGTCGGCGGCGCCCAACGCGGTACTCACCAGAGCAATGCCGATCAGCAGCGACAACGAGCCGAGCGACGACGGCAGCGGTCGCTGATGGAGTTTACCCGGAAGGTGTTCGAGGTGCAGGCGGAAAATGGCGGTTGCGCCCTGGTGAGGAATGAGTCAGCCATCCACGCGGTGGAGGCCCTCCCTTCGGTTGAGGTAGTCAAGGGCGGCCTGTGTGTGAGAGTCACGGGTCAGCCAGCGTGGTGGGCAACGAACTGCCCTGAGATCGCAGCGGTGCTGCGGCGAGAGTGTTCCGTGGTGCACGAGCGTCGCTCGGGGGTCAACGACAAGGCCACATCAAGCACTGGGCGACACTCTTTAGCGCTCGGTGTGCTTCGAGGGCTCAAGCGCCATCTGACGCGCGTGGAGCCTGAGAGGATCGGGTGGCGCGGACGGCTCCCGGGAACGCGGCCTTCAGGTCAGGGTCGCAGCGTGCACGAGGGGCGCGCGACGAAACTCGAACCAGGACCAGCATCTTACCCCACAGGGCTCGGAGAGACCGACAGCGGGAATGCGATCCCTCAGGGGATTACGTTTAAGTTTCCAGACACTCCGATGGGCAAGTCGCTGGCCCAGCGGATGACGCCGGAGCTACGTCGGAACCTGCGTCGACTCCACCTCAACACGGGGCACGCGAGCCCCGAAGATTTGGCTAGGTTAGTCGCCAAGGCCGGCGGCTCCGAGGTGGCGGTCGCGGCGGTCGCGGGAGCCAAAGCACTCCGGTGCTCCAGCTGTGCGGAACGCCCGCGAGCGAGGCCCCCGCGGCCCGCGCGACTTCGAGAGGACGACTTGTCCTTCAACGAGGTCGTGCAAGCAGACCTGTTCAAGATTCCCGACCAGTGCGGAACAGGTTGGTGGTTCCTGTTGGTGCAGGACGTGGCGACGGGGTACTGCACGATCGGGCTGATCAATGCGCACAGCAGCGAAGAACTGTGGGGGCAGTACGAGCGTTTGTGGCTCTGCTGGGCGGGGCCACCAGATCAGTTCGTGACAGACAACGAGCGGGGGCTCGTCAGTGGAAGCTTCGTGGACGCCCTCTCGAGGAGCGGCACCGCGTACGACCCTACCGCGGCGTACGCGCCCTGGCAGAAAGGCAAGGTCGAGCGGAAGATCCAGGAGGCAAAGAACGTGATGAAGAAAAGCATCCGGCACGGAGCGTATTCTGGGATCGATGAGATGCAAGCTCTCGCGTGGGAAACTGCGTCAGCCCTCAACCATTTCCCTGGGCAGTGCGGCTACAGCCCATCACTGCTTCTCTTCGGGCAGAAGATGAAGCTTGTCGGCGAGTGCTGGCACGAGGGCAAAGCGGTGAGCTATCACCCATGTGTGGCCGAAGAGGGCGATCCACTGGCACGGCGACTCAAGATACGTGAGCACTGTCAGCAGTCGCTCATCAAGACGCGCAGTCAAGAGCTCGTGCGGAGGGCCGTGGCCGCGAGGAGTCGCGGCACTCCGGCGGAGTGGAAGGAAGGCGAACGCGTGTTCTTTTTCCGGCCTTACCGCACGGAGCGTGGACGCCGGGTCAACAAGCCGGAGTGGTGCGGACCTGCTCTGGTGTTCGGGAGGCGCAACGACAACGTTTGGGTTCAGTACGGCGGCAAACCGTTTCTGGTTGCGCCAGAACACTTGAGGCCTCTGAGCCCAGAGGAGCAACACCTGGCGGAGGATGCCGACCTCGCCCGGTCTCTGGACGAGATTCGACAGGCTATGAGCCGCGAAGAGTTTGAAGACCTCACTGGCCTGAATGCCGGACCGGATGAATTAGCGGCCGCGGACGGACTCGTTCAGGGGGAAGCCTCCGAGCAGGAGCGGGAAGGCCCTGGGGACGGGGGAGTGGTCGAGGTAGACCCTCCTGCGCCCGGGGGCACCCCCAGGGAGGAGGCCCGAGACGAGGCCCAAGGCAGCGGACTGCCTCGGGGCGTGCCGCGCGAACTGGAACGCTTCATCACCATGCCAGGCTGGCATGTGAGTGATCGGGGCTGCCCGGTGAGGAGCCTCGGTGAGGCCTGGGCCAGAGTTACGCTGGACGCGCGATTCCCGCTCGAGAAATGGCCGCTCAGGACGACTTACGAGAAACACGGCGGCGAGTGGCGCTGCACAGAGCATCGGGTTCGGTGGGCCCAGCTGACGAACCCGAGGGAGCTATTGCGGCCGGCAGCAGATCGCATGCTCGTGGTGTTCGAAGAAGAGAAAAAGCGCCAGCGAGAGCCGACGCTCGCGACAGTCGAAGGACCCGCCGCGGTGCGGCGGACAGGCGAGGCCCCGAGTGGGGCCAGTTACCAGGCTCACCAGGTGATGACGGCGTATCACCGCGGGACGGGGTCCGCACTGCTGGACCGAAAGACTCAAGATCGCGAGCTTAAGTGGGACGAAATAGCGCCTAAGGATCATGAGGCGTTCCAGGCCGCTGTGGAGAAGGAGTGGGATTCCTGGCTCCGCTACAAGTGCGTGTCGGTGCTGGAGCCAGAGGCCTCACAGGAAGTGTTGCGGACAGTGGACCGGAGTCGGATCCTCGGGAGCGACATGAAGCTCAAAGACAAAAATGCCGCCCTAAGGACGCCCGAAAATGATCTGCCGCTCAAGGCTAAAGCACGGTTGTGCGTGCAGGGCCAGCACGATCCCGACGCGAAGCTCGGAACAGTCAAGACGGACGCTCCCACGGTGCAGCGATCTGGGTTCCACGCCTTCCTGCAGCTATCGGCGAACTTGGGGTGGCTATCTCAGTTGGCCATCGGTGACGTTTCCAGTGCGTTCCTGCAAGGGGAACCGCGCCAAGGGCAGGAACCGTTGTACATGCGCCAGCCCCGGGGCGGATTGCCGGGGTTGGAACCCGGACAGCTGCTGAAGATAGAAAAGGGCATATACGGGTTGCCCGACGCGCCGCGAGCGTGGTTCAATACGTTCCGCAAGGCCATGGTAGAGGAAATGGGGTGGAAACAATTGCAGCTCGACGTAGCTTTCTTCTGTTACTATAGCGGCGATCGTCTCGCAGGTATGCTCATTGTGCACGTGGACGATTGCATGTTAGCCCACGACGGCAGCGCCGAGATGCGTGCCAAGGAGGCGAGGCTGCGCGAACGTTTTCCTTTCGGGTCTTGGACGGTGGTCGCGCAGCAGGCCGAGGGAGATGTGTACACCGGTCGTCGGATCAGAGTGGACGGGTCATGCGTCGAAGTGGGAATGCCAGAGTTTGTCGAAGGGAGACTTGAGGAGGTGAAGGTCGACCGTCAGGCAAAAGGTGAGGACCCAGTGAGCCCCCTCGCGAAGGCTGAGTTTCAGTCAGCGACGGGGTCGCTCCACTGGCTGGCAAGCCAGTACCGTCTCGACAAAGCCTACGAGACAAACCGGTTTCAGAAATTGCAAAAGGCGCCCACCTGGTCCGACGCGAGAGAACTCAACAAGTGTATTCGAGACGTGAAAGCCAGCGGAGGCGCTCGGCTTCGGATCGCTCCCATTAAAGGGAGGATGGGCGTTGGCTGTTGGCACGACTCGTCCCTGTATGGGAATGTGAGCGAGCTCATTGAGGGAGACGAGGACCTCAAACGGTTCGATCGCCATAAGGTGAGGTCCCAAGCCGGCGTGGTGGTGGCTGCCATCGACCTCGACTGCTTGGAGCAGGACGAGCTGCCGATATCAATCCTGGACTGGCGAAGCCGAGCCAGTCATCGGGTGGTGACGTCGACGTTCTCGGCGGAGACGGCGGCGTGCCTAGAGGGCCACGGGATGGCCTACTACATGCGGGCGTTGCTGTGTGAGGCAACCTACGGTTGGAGCGGTACTCCTGTCGTGGAGTACGGTGAGGATGAAATGCCTCTCACGCTATTCACCAACTGTCGTAGTCTGTACGACCACGTGAAGGTCGAAGGGAACATCCCCGACGATCGACACGATGCTGTGTGGCTCGCTGCGCTAAAATCTCTGGTCTCGTGCGGGCCACAACGGGACGAAGAAAAGGCGGGGCTCAGGTGGCTCCCGAGCAGGTGGATGATTTCGGACGGGCTCACAAAAGGGGGATTGAGCGAACGGGTCCGGGAGTTCATGGAACAAAACCGTACGAGGGTCCATGAGGAAAGTGCCCAGGCAATCCGGAGGAGTCAGACAGTTAAACGGCCCCCGGGGGAAACCTCAGGTCAAAATCGGCGTCCGCCAGTCGGCCTTGCTGGCCCGGGTCCAGGGCGATTGCGTAAATTTGTCCACACGGAGAAAATAAATCGCACCCTGTTTGTTGATGCTGGTCTGCGTGCTGGCACGAGTGCGGGCACTCAACTTGGGATTTCAACGTCTTTCGTCTCCGTTGCTAGCGCCGCCGTTTGTGCTCAAGCGGATAGTGCATTGCCGGCGCGCGGCGCGGCCGGAGGCCGTGCGGACGCGATGGATCGCGGCGCGAGTGGTGCCGGCTCCGACGCGGGGCATCGCAGCGGCCGCCGAGGCAAAGAGGCCCCGCGGCGCGGGGAGGAGCCGACGGCTCAGACCACGCGGAGCCGCAGCCGCGGTAAAGGAGAAGAACCCCCGCGGCGCGGGGAAGAGCGGCGGCGCTCGCCGGCGGAGCCAGCGGAGCCGGCGGAGCCAGCGAGGGTCGAGCGAAGGGCGACGCCCCCGAAACGCACGGGGTGCGGAGACGGTGGCGGCCCAGTGTGCTTCACCCGGCGCCACCTGGGGGGTGACGGGGAGAGTATCGAATCCTACCCGTCGGAGCACGCGGCGCTGAAGACGGCTGACCATTTGATGGTCTTCACGCAGCTGGAGGTGGACCAGCTGCCGAACTCGGAGTGGAGCCTATGGGTGTCTAACTTTCTCAGGGTGGCGTACCCTGGGGCACTGGTGCCCGGCAAGGACAGCGCCGAGGAGTTAGCGTACCGCTGGAACAACGTGGTGCACCAGGACGGCTTGAAGTACAAGCGCTGGACACTGGTGATGGACCTGCTCAAGACTTACCCGCTGGCAGCGACGTACTGGCAGGCGGCGGCGCAGCGGAGACTGATGGTCAGCATCCCGCCGCCAGCTGCAAGCGCACGGGATGCAAGCGCCAGAGACTCAGACTCGGATTCGGAGTACAGTTCGGACGAAAAGCGTGCCGCGCCAGAGGTCGGCGCGAAGGCACGGGCCGAGGTTGAGCACGACGAAAGGTCCTGCTCGGCGCGGCGCGCCAGGGCGGAGGAAGACTCGGAGGGCGACGACGGGTCGTCAGGCCGACGCTCTCGCCGACCGCCTCGCGCCCGGAGCCCGTCGCCGGAGGCGCACGTCGAGGAGCACAAGGGCGGCAAAGGCTCGAAGGGTGACAAGGGTAAGAAAGGCAAGGGCTCGAAGGGCTCGAAGGGCGAGAAGGGCAAGGGCACCAAGGGCGGCAAGTCTAAGAAGGGGCCTCTGCCGGGGTCGATTCCCAGCGAAGTTCTCAACCCGAACATCTGCCGGCTCTGCTTCAAGGAGGGGCACTGGGGCAACCAGTGCCCGGTGTACTACCAGGACGGGACGCCGAAGGAGGGACCGGCGCCCTGGGGGAAGCCGGCCGAAGCGCCAGACACGACGGCTCCGAAGTGAGGGCGGCTCACCAAACCATGGCGGTGCCATGCGAGTCCGGGCCGTTTTGGTCCCCAGGAGCCCGGCCTCCGAGTAGCGGCGGTGCCGCTGCGCGAGCGGCGCTCGCAGAGACACAGCCGTAAGTGTTGTGCGTCGCGGCCATTTTGGCCCACAGTGAGCCCGGTCGACGGTGTCGACCGGGCGGAGTACCCGCAGGACCCAGGAGGGAGCTGGAGAGGTAGCAGTGTTGAAGTTGACTCCTGCTATGCTCTCCCGCAGCCGTTTCGGCCCTGGCGGCCCCGACGAGAGGTCGGAGGGGCTGTTTAGGGCAACATACCGGGCGCTGCTTGCCCACCTGCGCGTGAGGAAACACATATCTTCACATCGACAACCATCATCATCAACATCATCAGCAGCATCAGTAACACCATCATTATCAACATAATCGCCAACATCATCATCACCATCATCAGCATCGTCATCATCACCATCACCATCACCATCACCATCATCATCATCCTCATCATCCTCAACATCCTCATCCTCATCCTCATCATCGTCATCATCACCACAATCATCATCACCATCATCCATCATCATTTCCATCATCACCATCATCACCATCATCATCATCATCATCATCATCATCATCATCATCAGCCGTTTCATCCTCGTCCTCCTCCTCCTCCCATTCCTCCTCTTGCTCCCCCTCCTCATACCCCTCCTCTTCCTGCCCCTCCTCATGACTTAAGCATCTCCCTAATATCCGCCTCCATGCGTTCCCGCCATCATCACCAACAGCATAGCCATTATCCTCCTCCTCGTCATCAGATCGTCACCCCGTCATGTACCCCCCTCCTTCGCATCCTAGTCATCAATGCCCATGTCCTCCCCGCCTTCACCTGCTTGCCCTCGTCAACAATCCCATCCTCATCGTACTGTTCCTCCTCCTAACCTTCCTACCACTTCTTCTCGTAAACCCTGCTCCAGGTATCATGCCTTCTCCTCCTCAACCTTCCACTACCCATCCTCCTGCCCCTCTTCCTACGTTTGCGCCTCAGCCCAGACCCAACCTGATCCTGCGCCGCCTCCTCCTTCGCGTCATCCTCCTCCCCTCGGTCGTCGCCGTCCCGTCGCGTCTCCGTCGGTCGTAGATGCCGACCGTGCCCATGCAGTGGATGTCCGCAAGCGCCGCTCTTCGACCACGAGCGGCCGCGCCGATCAGCGCTGTCGAGGTGTGCCCAGGACTCGGCGAGTTAGCTGAATGTTGTATGCGCAACATGCAGCCCCCCCCTCGTCGAGTGAGAAAGAAGAGCTCTCTCCATCCTTCCCTCTTGCCGCTTCCAGCCTCCTCCCCCTCCTCCTTCTCCTCTGACTTCCTCCCCCTGCTCTTCCTCCTCCTCCTCCACCTCCTCCTCCTCCTCCTTTTCCTCCTCCTCCTCTTGCCTCCTCCCCTTACCTCCTCCTCCGTCCTCCCTCCATCCACCTTCGGCGGGAGCTCCTGCGTTCGCCGCCAGAGCACATGGAGGCGCTGCTCGGGCTGCCGCACCGCCCACCCAGGCGGCCCGTGCCGGCGGCGCTTGGGGACCCCGCGGCCGCTTCCGCCGCCGCCATCGAGGCTTACGTCCTGGATGAAGTAAAAGATCCGGCCAGGGAGAGGGAGAGCGCCAGACATCCTGGAGGCTCCTACTACTACTACTGCTACTACTACTACTACTACTACTACTACTACTACTACTACTACTACTACTACTACTACTACTACTACTACTACTACTACTACTACTACTACTACTACTACTACTACTACTACTACTACTACTACTACTACTACTACTACTACTACTACTACTACTACTACTACTACTACTACTACCACTACCACTACCATACTACTACCACTACCTACCACTACCACTACCACT